TCCCTTTCAAAATCTAATCCAACAATTCCCCCCCAATCCAACTCCCCCCCCAACCCCTTAACACACCATCCCTTTCCCTCACAAAAACCACCCATTAATCTATAAAACTACCAAAACATACATCCCCAACTTTATTACCCCACTATTAACCCCCTTTACCCTCATAACCCCTTATACCCTCATAACCCCCCCCCCAACCACACTATTTTTCCCACTTCCCTTTTCCCCCACTTACCAAAATTACCAACCCCCTACTCATAACCCCCCTTCCCCCCTATAACCCCCCCTCCCACACTCCTATTATTCCCACTTCCCAACCCCCTCTCACTACCCTTCCAAACCCTCTTATCTCTCCCCAAATCATAAATAATAACACCACCCCCTCCCTCATTCCACATTACCTCCTCCCCCCCCAAAATAATATCTCCCCCCACACCAATCCATTCCTCCCAAACCAAAACCAAAAACCCCACACCTCCACAATAAATCACACAAACCCTATCATCTCAATCTACACATCTTCACAAAAATTTCCCATACATTTCCCATAACACACCCCCAATCACCCACCACCCATTTTCACAAACATCCCCCCAAATCCATCCAACCCATCTTCCCTCAATCCCCACTCTCCACCCACCCACATAACTTCCCCACACTAAAATAAAAACCCCCACCTATTAAAATCATCTTTCCATATCCAATACCTCCACATTCCCCTCACAATCCTACTTAAAAATAATTACCCCCCCTTCCACATCAAAAACTAAAAACTCTCAACAAACCACCCACAACAACACAAACTCCATCTAATCTACAATATCAATAATACCCTCCCATAAACTATACCACCCCCCCCTATAACCCCATACCCACCCCCCCCCCCCCCCTACCCCCACTCAAAAACCCCAATCTCAAACTCCCCCCATCACCCTTCCTCCTATACCCCTACCTCACCCCTCCCCCTCACCCAACCATCAATTAACAACTTAAACCCCCAAAAACCCACCAATTCCCCTCCACCCTCCAACCCCCCCCCCCCCCCACATCCCATATACAATTACCACCCCTATTTTTTCCACCACCACACCAAACACCACCACCACCCCCCCCATCTCCCTACCACCCCTAACCCCACCTACTCAAACCCAACACTACTAATACATTATCCCAAAAATTACCCCACAACCACAACCCCCGCTTTCCTCTCTCCCCCCCCTACAACCCATACCAACCCTAATCCCCCTCAACCCCCTCCAACCCCCCCTCTCCCTCCAAACCAAAACCAAAACCACCCTTAACCCTTTCCAAATATCTTCTTCTCCCTCTTCCTTTCTAATTACCCTCTTCTTCATCTTCCCTTACCTTCCTTCATCCATTCCATCATCTTACCACCACACTTCCCATATATATCTCCCCATATTTCCACCCATCATACTTCCACCCAATTTCACCCATACATCCCCCCATTACTTCCCCAAACCCTTTACCCATCTTTACCCCACCCCACAACCCAAAACCTCCAAAACCCCCAATTCCTATATCTCCCCCACTACCCCCACCCCTCCCCCTTACATTCCTCATTATACCCACACACTCATCCCCACCCCCCCAACTTCCCCCCCCCCTCCCCCCCCCTCCCCATCCCAAACTCACATACCCCCCCCACCCCCCAACCTACATTCCCCCCCAACACATCCATATAATACCATTTCACCTAAACCCCCAAATTCCAAATTCACCCCTCCCCCAAACTTTCCACCCCCCTCCCCCCCACCATCTCCAACCACCTCCACATCTTCCCCACCCACAACACAATCCAATATATAACAACAAAATCACATACATAAAAACCAATATCCTTCCCAAATATCACCATTCCCCCCTACCCCTTTCAACACACCCAATACCCCACCTCCCCCCTTTCATATATTTCCCCCTCACAATCATTTTCCCTTCCCACCATCCCTCATCTACATACCTCCCTTCCACAAATACTACACCTACCCCAACATAACCATCCAATATAACAAACCCCCCAAATCACATATATACACCTCCCCACCCCCATCCCCCCCCCCCCCACAACCCTCCACCCTCTTTACAATACCCACCCCTACACCCCCATCCATCCCCTCTATCTCCCTCCTCTTCCTATCTCTTCTTACCTTCCCCATATCCTCCTAAAATTCCACCCTCTAAACAAATATCCACATTCCCTCCCCCCCCCCTCCCCACCACCATTCCTATACCCCCCCTCTCCACCCCATCCCTCCAACACCCCCCTTCCCTTACTTACCCCTTCCCCATCCTCCTAACCAACCCTCCTCCCCCCCCCCCATCCACCACACAATCCCAACCAACCAACCAACCCCACCCACCCCCAAACAAACAACCCCAAACCCCCCCAACCATCCTCAATAAACCATACACCCCCCCCCCAAAATTCCCCCCATCTACCCATTCAACACCCCCCCCCCCCAATACCACAAAACCCCCCTCCTAAACCACCCATCTCCAATATATACATAATCATTTATCTATTATATCTACTTCATAAATCTAAAATCCCCCACAACAATCCCCCCCCCAACCCCCCCTACCCTCCAATAAACTAAATCCCCCTCTTAAAATTCACAACACCACATCCCTTCACCCCCCCACTCCACTAACATCTCTCCCTTAATAATCACAAAATCTCCTCCTCCCCACCCCATACACATATCTCTTCCTCCTACTTTTTTCCCCCTTTCCCCACCTTCTAAATTCCTTTACTCATAACCCCTTTACCCTTATAACCCCCTCCCTTTTCCCACTTCCCTTTTCCCCCCCCCTTTTTCCCCTTTTCCCATTTTCCTCCCATCACACCCAACCCTACACCCACTATTCCACACTCTCCCACCACCTACCCCCAACCCCAACAACACAACTATCCCCAACCCAAACAATAACCCACATACCCCCCACTCCCCCCCTCTTAAAACTAACCCCACATCACTCTTCACCCAACAAACACACCCCACCCCCCCCCCCCCACCTCACAAATCCATTCACCCCCCCCCCACCACCCAAACTAAAAACCCCCCCCCATCCCCCACCCAAACTCCCCCAACCCCCCAAACCCCCTCCCCCAACATCACATACCCATAAATCATAAAAATATTATCTCCCAAAACTCCCCAATACATCCCACCCCCCCTTCCTATCCCATTTCCCCCCCCCCTTATCCCCAAAAATCACCCCCTCTCTCACCTATTCATTCCAAAATTAATCTCTCCCTCCCCCCTCCCTCCAATCAACCTCCATATAACCTCCAACCCTCCCCTATCCCCCTATATCTACTCTAATTCTTTCCTAAATAAACCCACCCCCACCCCTACTATCCTCCTCCCCTACATCCATTACCCACCAATCACACCATCTCCATCTCTTCAAACCTCCCACCCCCATCTCCAAAACAACACCCCAACCCCCCCTCACACACCCTCAAATCCCCCCAACAACTCCATCCAACACCTACTCCCATACAAAAATCCATCCCAACCCCATCTATCTACCCCCTTAAAACCCTTTCCTATCACTTCCTTCACCTCTCCCTCACTCACTCATAATCAACATTACCAACTATAAAATCTCACACTAAAATACTCCAATCCCCCCTTAAAATATACCTTCCCCCTAATCCTCCCACCAACCATCCCATCCTATCCATTTATTACCTTCATACAAATATACCCATAAAATATTCCAACCTAAACCATTATAATCAATCACTCACATAATTTATACAATTCCTATTACTCACTCACTAACACACCCTCCCAACTATATACTATTACTATCATCATCTATACTCAATATTAGACAATTCCTACAATAACCCACCCATCCAACCCCCCCCCTATCTTATCAAATACCCTTTCCCCAGCCCTTAACCCCAACAATCAAATCTCTAACTTAACACCTCCCCCATCACTTCTACAAACCAACCCTTCCCCCCATTCCTAGATCACATCATCATATCTTTCTTAAACAAACCCCAAACCATCCCTCAATCCACACATCACCATATAAACATACACCAAACTTACCCCTCCCCATCTTACAACCAAAATCAAAAAACAATACTACTCATATAAATCAACATACCCCCCCCAAACTCACTTCAATTTTAACTAACCACTCACTATATCCCCATCATCCATTTCTCCCCCCAACCTCCTACCACCCACAATCTTCACATTTAAAATCTCTCCTAATTTACCATCTCTACTCCCATATCTATAATTTGTTCCTTATCACAACCCCCAACCCACCAATCATCACCTTCCCCCCCCCCCACCCCACCCTCCCTCCCACATTTTCACTTCCTAACATCCCATACCTAACATCACAACTCCCCACAAATCTCACCCCAAACAATCTGATATGCCATAATACTAATAACAAAACTACCAACACCTTATTCCACACCACACAATATTCAATCAAACCAACCATAATTAACACTCCCCCCTACAGACCCCCTATTGTTTTACACATCCGAAATCCCCTTTCCACTTCCCACCCATAAACCAATCAATCATTACATCCACCCTTTCCACACTTACCCCATATCATATCCATATATTCACTACTATTCTTATCTTAAACACACAATCCACATCTAATCCTCATACCATTTAAACTTCCTTCACATTAATCTCTAATTCCCAACCCCATCCCCCTACCCCCTTATTCATCCCTAACCTCTCCACCCCATCCCCTCCTTCCCATTCTTTCCCTTATCCTCTTCTTCTCCCCTTCTCCCCTTCCCCATTTAGACCCTTTTAGGCCCATTTTTCTTCCATTTTTATCAATCACTGGTGGGTAATCTTGACCCGAGGGTAGCACAGGTGTTAAGAGATACTTGATTCATCCTACAGTGGGGTGTTGCAGTTACAGAACAGGAGGAACGAAAAAAATCCCTTCTTAACCTCACTTCTTTTCTCCCTTCCCAGACTCCGGCGGTTCCCAAAGGTCCGCAGGGTCCGTCTCTGGGGCAGCGGGTGATCGGGCGCAACTTAGACGGCTGGTTCTATCACTGTGACATCATCGGCACGGCAACCCAGACTCTCTTTGAAGTCAACTTTGATAATGGTTCCTACTGTGACAACCTGTACCCCGAAAGCATTCTGGTGAGTTTTGTTCCCGTTACCGGCACACGGCTGGTCTCCTAGCAACTGTTTTTAACCTTTTTGCATTTTGACATTTACCGTATTTTCAGTCTCTCTCAGCTTCGTATTCAAGCATTTATTATGTTTACGTCATACTGTGCTTTTAAAGTAGCTCTTCTCCTGGTCCCTCGTCCTCCTCTGCTCCTCCCGTCTCCTCCCTCTTCCTGGTCCCTCCTCCTGGTCCTTCGTCCTCCTCTCCTCTTCCCCTCTTTCCTCCTGGTCCCTCCTCCTCCCTCCTCCTGGTCTCTTGTTCTCGTCCTCCCTCCTGGTCCCTCGTCCTCCTGGTCCCTCCTCCTGGTCCTTTGTCCTCCTCTCCTCCTCCTCCTCTGCTCCTCCTCTTCCTCTTTCCTCCTGGTCCCTCGTCCTCCTCCCTCCTGGTCCCGCCTGCCTCCTCCTCCTGGTCCCTCGTCCTCCTCTGCTCCTCCTCGTCCTCCTCCTCCTCCTGGTCCCTCGTCCTCCTCTGCTCCTCCTCGTCCTCCTCCCTCCTGGTCCCTCATCCTCCTCCTCCCTCCTGGTCCCGCATGCCTCCCCCTCCTCCTCCCTCCTCCTGGTCCCTCCTCCCTCCATCGGCAAATAAAAATGACTTTGTCAAATGGTGGCACGTGAGAAGAGTGACCAATAATAATAATAATAATATTGGCGGTCATTTGCCGATATTTGACAGTATCAGAAAAAGATCAGAGTTTGCGGTTTCAGAAGTTCAAGAGAACTACTTTAAGTTTACGACAGATTTGGTCCAGTTAAAGTAAAGTGTAAAGGGCTCTTGGACAGGTTTGGATTTGTGGCCTTTAACGTTTGTTTTGTGCTCTTCTCTTTTAGAGCCATGACTGTTTGCAAAACGGGGCCCCGGATAAAGGCGAGCTGATCGTGGTCAGCACGGCCGACGGACAAATCCTGAACGCCTCCTTTATAAGAGAGCACATTCATAAGTTCTACCAGGTGAGACCAAACTCTATTTAGTTATTACACAGTAATAATGTGCATCGCTACAATTAACTTAATTTAATGATATCACTAAACATAGTTATACACATAATACTAATGTATTCCAAGCCAAATAACGTAATAACCAATACTAATAACTTTACTACGGGACATTTTCTCCCAATGTGAATGAGCCTCTCGCTGGCCTTGTGCATTTTAGTGTCTTAGTTTGAACTATATTTTAACCATAACATGAATTACACACAAATGAACACAGCTCGGACGCTCCTTGCTCTAACTAGCACTAATACAATATACAATAAAATGTATTCTTGTATAGCCCTAAATTACAACATTATCATCTCAGAGACTTCACAAAACCATTGAAATCACCAACACAGATCAGAGAATCAACAGTTAAAACACAACAAATAATATAGAACATTTTGATAAATGTCATACATGTTCTAGAATGTTAAAGTATTCTTGGAAAATATAACAGAAGAAATGGCTGCGTTTCATTGGGGTGGCCTGCAGGGGGCGCTTATCTGGGAAAGCCTTGATCCACCTCGCCCGCCTCATTTCAGTGATTTTTTTCAAAGTGTCCTCCTTTATATGAGACCACAGTTGGAACACGGAAGAAACTCTAGTCTTTCTCTCTATTTGCGCGGTTGCTACAAGCGTACACCGCACAAAAAGATGGCATTTTGACAGCACTTCTTCTTCTACTATATCTCCGTGTATAAACCCGGCAGACTGCACCGCCAGGGTACGTCACGTCCTGTCCCGCGTATGTCTTTTGTGCCACTGCCCCGACGTCAAATGTTTGTGTATTTTCAGACACGTGTTTGTGTGTTTTCAGGTGGAGTTTCAGGACCAGAGTCAGCTGATGCTCAAACACCATGAGATCTACACCCTGGAACAAGACCTACCCAAACGAGTCCGCTCCAGACTGGTGAGTTTCACTGAGGTTCTTTCATCTCTGGACGAAACAGGCCGTTCATTTCAGAAAAACCACCATGTGGACCTGGATCTTGTGATTGGTCCAGACTCAATGGGCCGTCATATGAATGAAAATATACTCATGATAAGATATTAAAACCTCATATGTTTAAAAACGATTTGCTTCTGTGAGTCCCTGTTCCACGGCAGGCCTAAAGACTGGATACGGCTCTGTCAACATCAAAGATCTCTGAATATTTAGTAAAAACTGCCCACACGAGTTTCACACCATCGTTAGTAATCCTGCATAAATCTGAGCTCATTTGCATTTTAATCAGCACCACATCCAACAAACAAAGTTACAGCTCTGTGCCCATTGAAATGCACCTACTTCATCGCGGAAACAAGGCCACGCTGCCTCCTCCTGCTTCTGAATCACATCCTCTTCTCTCAAATCTATTTTAATCCATATGTTAAAGATTCATTTTTTATTTTATTTTTATTATTATTAACATACAAAATACATTAAATACAATTGGGCAGCATATTGGCTGAGTGGTTGGCACTCTCGCTTCTCAGCCAGAAGGTCCTGGGTTTGAATCCCAGTCGGAACAGGGCCTTTCTGAGTGGAGTTTGCATGTTCTCCCAGTGTCTGCGTAGGTTTCCTCCGGGTACTCCGGTTTCCCCTACCACTAAAAATATGTACAATTAGGGGTGGGCGATATGGGAAAAAATATTTTTTTCCCCCAACTCACGATAACGATATTGTCACGATATCTTTCAAATCAATCATTTTTACACAAAATGATCAGCAATATTTCTCTTACCAGGGCATCTATAGATGGACAGTGTAGATCAAAACAGCAGCTTATTATTTAAGTGCTTCACACATCTTTGCAAAACATGCACAAACATACATTAACATCAAAAACCAAATTCAAGTTACACGGAAAGAACACTGAAGAACGGAGAGGTTCTTTAATAGTTGGGGACACTATCGACAGACTCCGGTAGAGAATCTATAATCAGCTTTATGGCAGGTTTGGCAGGTGATCAGTTTATACATTGTATTGTTGTGAGTGTGCAATTGTGTGTGGCTAAGGAAACAGAAATAGACAAATAAAAACAGTATTAATAATTATTCTATAGCAAATAACACATTATAAAATTAATAGCATAAAAATCCAACATAGGTCCCCTTTAAGGTCTATATAAAGTTGACATAAAATACTTTAATAAGTGATGTAAACCACAAACAGAGGTAGCTCAAAAGGAAACTAACAATACAAAGGTGCAGGGAAGTAAATATGACAAATAATAATAGCATGATTAGCTTCATGTAACATAGTTAGCTTAATTAGCTGCAGACAAACACAGATCGGGAAACTCTCTTCAGCAAATAATGACAAACTATACAACATAAATCTTTCTTACCAGACTCTGGTAAGAAAAACGCACAGACAATGTACAAAGTCTTTTCCTCCGTTTCGCGGTGTCCCTGCATGTCAAAGCAGCGTCTCCGGCACCGTGCGGTCTGTGTTGTGCACGCACACCATACACGTGGTGAGGTGTTCAGGTGCAGACGTAAAGATAAGTGTTTGTCGCAGACTCTGGTCTGGACCTATTCTGGTCGTACCACACCTTTGTACAAATTACATTTCGTACTAAGGTCTGGATGTGCTCCATTGAGCTCCGTTTACAGGTGGGAGGGGTTAACTAATTTTGCAGATTGAAACGATTGGATCTGAGTTTACTGTGACGTATGTAATGCGCCCGAGTGAATTGTTAGCATTTAGCCTAGCCATCGTCTTTGCCGCTAACGGAGCCCGTGGGGAGTAGCGCCACAATCTTTGCAGCAATTACATTTGCTAAACATTCCTCTAGTTCCGGCTTCAATTTCTTGATAGAACCAGACCGGATTACTTCACTATCGCATTCTTCGCCATTGCCAAACCACAACCGGCCCGTTCGGCGCAAACTCTTGACGCCTCTTAAAACTAACTACAACACCCGCCACCCGCACTCGCAGATTGGACGGTCGAAATTCAACCGATTTTAATCGCTAACACAGGGACCAGACCCAGACGTTACATGTAGTAAAATGATGATTGAGCGGAGTGTACGGATGGATAAGGCCAGGCTAGTCTGGACCAGTGGTATGGCCTTTGGAAATGGTCCAATATCCATCCTCTATTTTGTCAAAATAAAGTGAAAATAAAATAATGTGAGACGTCTAGAAATACTTTTTTGTGCTTTGTTGGAATTCTATATAATACACTTTGATTACTTTTGGTGATGTGCCTTGTGATTGTTTTCAATGGAACAGGTTTGCCACGGCTCAAAAAGGTTGGAACACTGAATTAGTGGACACTTTGTGGAGAAAAATGAAAATCACATGGCAGTGGTTGCAGCCGGTTATTTACAAATGAGGAACAACTACTACTAGGATCTACACCTCCCTCTGGTGGTAGCACAGGGATAGGGCAGGCTGATTATTCATCCTTGATACATGTTTTAACCAGTGGGGGCGGGTCCCAGCTCAAAAGTGGCCAAAATGGCGTGCGCTGACATGCTTGCAATACCACCCCAGGCCGATAGGGGGTGGACCCAGAAGAAGAATTAGCCAATGCTAACATATAGCATTGGGCAGACCTCTCGAAAACGTCTTTACAGGATGGTCCAAAAGTTGGCTCTTGGCCCAAAGCTCCGTTCCACATGTGTGTCAATGCTGAGGGGGGTGAATTTTTTTGGTCCACTCTAGTTTACTTGGTGTGAATTTTTGAAGTCTCTCGTTCAAATGAATGGAGTTGCGCCGGCTGACGCATGCGCAGATGCGTTTTTTTTACAATTTTCTTGTGGGCGGGACCACTCACGGCCATTTTGGATAGCTCCAGTAGAGCACTATTTTTGGCCCATTAGTTAGAACGGCGGAGATAGGCGTGACTCTGTCCGTTTATATATACAGTCTATGGTTTTAACCTTATATTTTCTTGTGTAGATTTTACGTTTCATTCTAAAACATGTAATGATGACATAATGGCCAAAAATAATGTGCCATATTTATATTGACTCTGGACCTACTTTCTCTCCTCTTTAGGCAATACTTGCGGCGCCACCCCCCCCTCCAGACGACAGCATCGCAGCCAAACGCCGCCGCCTTCCCTCCGGTTCCACAGCCTCCAGTTCCTCTGCCTCCGGTTCCACTGCCTCCGCCTCCAGCCCTGAGGTCGCCATGGAAACTACGCCGCCTCCCACGATGCCAACAAAGCCGCCACCCCCTCTCGCAGCCCCCATCAACCCCGCCCACATGCCCCTCTGCTTGGCCCCCCACAGTGTTACCTCACCCAGACAGACCCAGCACGGCCCAGCTCTGCTTCCCCCACACATGTCCGCTCAAACGGCCGCTCAGTACGGCGCTCTGGACACACGGGCGCCACCCTCGGACGCGCTCGCAGAGTCTAACCTGGTGTTGGACCCCACCACGGCACAGCAGGCCACGCCCTTTCAGGCCACGCCCCTTCAGGCCACACCCTTTCTTGCCACGCCCCTTCAGGCTCCTTTGAACTCAGACCCGCTGCTGTCCGCGCCCTCGCCGTCTCTACCCTCTCAGCATTTGACCTACTCCCTGAGCTCCAACTACGTGACGTACATGGAGAACCTCCTCAATGCAAGTTTCCCTCAGGAAGACAACGCCGGCCCCTTGTATTAAAAGCCGAAAGCGGCAATCATTGGCTCCGTCGTGACTTTAGACGGCGTGGTACTTTATACGGACACACAAACTCTTACTGCATGGACTCCTGTGGTTTTAAGTTAATATATTTGCAGTGGTGCTTTAACCTCCTTTAAAGCACTCAAAGGTCTTTTTTCTAAGTTCTAATTTCTGGTGGGGTGTTTTTTTTATTTATAGATATATATATATATATATATATATATATATATATATATATATATATATATATATATATATATATATATATTATGGATTGTTTTCTTTCACACAGGGCATAACGGGATCTTCAGCATCTTTATGTGGAAAACCTCTCCTTTTTCTTAACTTAATTTTTGTATCATAGGAAGCATATTATTTAAAATGTATCTTAGTTTTTTGGGTGGGAATCCTTAAACCAGCAGCAAAGGAACATTTCAGATTCCTGCCGTTTTTCTTCAGTTTCTGGCACAACTCACACCCGTATTTCCTCGTCATGGCAGAACATGGGATTGTATAGAAACTCAGTATTTCAGTGTCCTTGTCATATATTGATGAGATTTGTAATCGAAAAACCCTGTTGAATGCAAGCACTAGTGTTTTGTCTGCAGAATGCGTTACATTTTGTGAAACTGTCGCTGTAGTTGAAAAATAAGAGATTATGTATTGAAGTAAAAGGCGGCTTCAGTTTTGTACCGGCATTAGTCTCAGGGTTCCTACTCCACAATAATTCATACAGTTTTATAAGAACACTGCCTGAACAAAGCTCTGTTTGACCCGTTTCTTATATTTACAAACTCTTGCAAGGTGTAAAAGTGGTTTATCGGAAAGCAGTAGGAGCCCTCAACATTTTGTACCAAATTTATTGTATGTAAAAAATAAATAAATGTGTTTTTGTTTTTTTTAGGGCTCTGTTCTGTCTTAACCACGTGGCTGGTCTGAAATATTACACTTAAATATTGATTTTTATGTCTTGTAAATTGCATAATTCCCTGTAATAGAACAAGAGCGGTTCGTAGCAAGCCATGGGTTTTGTGAATATAATGTTTCTTTTGTTGTCTTCAGCTATAATATTAAATCTGCTCTTGCTATGTATCAAAATAATGAACGGAGTTATGTCATTTACATTAAAAATTGCTTGTCGCTATCTCGAGTGTGTCGCTTCTTCTCTCAGTTTCAGGAAAGTGCTTTTTTTTCTGGTTCTCTCTGGCCTCTTTCTGGTCTCGCTCTCTCTCTGATCTCTCTCTCTAGTTTCTCTCTGGTCTCTGGCCTCTCTCTCTCTCTCTTTAGTCTCGCCAGTCTCTCTCTGGTCTCTCCAGTCTCTCTCTGGTCTCCCTGGCCTCCCTCTGGTCTCTCTCTGTTCTAATTTTGATTGTTTACATTAAGTTGACCTTGACTTTCTGATATTGTTCTACACATTCACTTCTTGTGCAGATACACATGGTTGCATCATGCTGTTGCCTGGCGACCGGTGACATGACCACTCAGGAAGTATATTTCTATCGTTACCGTGATTCCTTTCTGCATTTGTTTTGTAATCTCCTTTCTCCTGGATCCATTCAGCAGTAATTGGGAGAGAACAGTGCAGCAGCTCCGGGCTCTACACTTCACTCTCCCTGAGGCTTGTCACAGATGTTTTTGAAAGTTTAATTGGGAATAAGTGCGAAGACAAAGAAGAGGAGCTGCGGTGATGAAGAGGTCTGAGCGGGAAACAGCAGCGTCCTCTCCAAAACAACATTGTGGCTGTAGTGGTTTGTGAATATGTGAACTATGAAGAAACACATGAGATTCTTTCGTTTGGACAGAAACAAGTTGAAGATACAGATGTTTGTTGGTCAGTTCACTTTTATGAGGCCTGTGACAAAACTATTAGAGCATATTAAAAATCCGCAACTCTTTTTCATAATTGATTAATCGTTCTCTGTATACAGCCTCAAATATATGACTGTGCTTAAAGATGTAAATGCTGCTCTGTGAAGGGTTAAAACCAAAACAAAAAGCTTTCAGCTTAAAATACAGCAGCAGGGATCTTAACGGGCACCAAAAGAGAGAGCACATAACTCTGGCTTCCTGGGGAGTACAGAATCACATTTAAAATCCATTTTTAATAGACAAAGCCATACACGGCCAAGGCCAGGCTTAAAGCAGTCCTCTTTAATTTAGCATATGGTTAAGAAGGCAAGACTCAGGGTGGACTAAAACTGGAGTCAGTCTGCTGAAGTATGGTAACTTGAGCACCTTCCTATCGTCCTTCCTTTATCTGTCTGCATTATTAGGATTTTGACTGTAGTCCCCCCCGCCTTGTGGGCTGCAGTGCACCCCCTCCCCGCCTGGAGCTGCCTCAGTCCTGCACCACACCTCGTTCTACAGCCTGAGTCCTGCACCAGAGGGTCATTGTCCTTGTCCTGGATGTATGAACCTTCTGTCCATCATAAAGTTGGATCCAGGACACCCAACATCCAACACCCATGGACATTGCTCTCTGTCTCTTATGGACCAATACTAATGTGTTTTATATTATTGCATTTGTGTTTGGTTCTCTGATCTGTGTTAGTGATTTCAATAGTTTTGTTTTTACTCTGTATGCCAACAATTGACTTGACTTTTATCGTCCTTCGTCGAGTTGACAATGTATAGTAAGTAATGTTTATTTATATAGCGCATTTTACAGACCAAGGTCACCCAAAGCACTTTACAATGTTCAGAGTTCAGATATTGTTCCAATCATTCCACACACGGTGATGACGGAAGCGACTCGCCGAACACACTGGACCATCAGCCCCCAATCAACACCATCCATTCACTCTCTCATTTACATTCATACATATTGCACATATTTTTAGTGGTAGGGGAAACCAGTAGCTTAACTCTGCCAGACGCTTGTAGTTCCGCCATGCTCCACCAGAGGCGTTTGGCTGAATCACATGGGTCTGGTATCGACGCCATAGCGAACGCCTTCCCCAGATTATTTTTTAATCGACCAGGATTGCCGGTGTTCCGTAGGGTTTGCACTGCCTTCTCAAGCTTCTCTCATGCAGCAGCGAGAGGAATCCAAGATGGCGGACATAAAGTCCGCGAATCTTTTTAAAAGAGTAAATACGATCAAATTAAGGATGTCACTTTTAATGCAATTTGAGGCGAGATGTAGATGGTTCTATGTTGATATATGTGTGTTTTGAGAGTCAAGTAAAGTTTGGTTGAAGTGTTAGTATTAGATAGCAATATGGCCTACGTGCAGGACTGTACAAGGACTCTACAAGGACTCCATGTTATGACTATGATGTGACTGTCTCTTTGTGACACGTATGTCTTTCGATGTGTGACGTGACAATGACTATATAAACTGTGTACTGCCTTTATTCTGTCTGAGAGAAAGAAACAGAGGAAACCAGTGGAACTTGAGAGAAACTTAAATAAACTTCCAGAGTTTGGCGCACCACGATCCGTCTCTGTCTGCTTCATCCCTGACAGATTTGGTGGAGAATGTGCGGCTCGGTTTGTGCCATTCTCTGGATTGTTTTGAGGGAATTTCCTCTGTTTCTTTTTTTCGGCGTGTGGGAGCAACAGCACGTTATCTGGAAGGGGAGAAATCCCAGTGGACGCTGAAAGGGCTCGCTTTTGGATGGGCTTGCTCTTGCTCCCTCACTTTCTCTGTTTTGTGTTTAAATTGAATTTTTCGACGCGGAAAAGATGTTGGTCGACCTCTCGAACAGTCCCTATAGGAAAAAGGAACCCCTGACGTATCGGGGTCCCTGTCCTTTGAAGTAGTCAGGACAGAGGGAAAAAGGAACCCCTGACGTATCGGGGTCCCTGTCCTTTGAAGTAGTCAGGACAGAGAGAAAAAGGAACCCCTGACGTATCGGGGTCCCTGCCTTTGGAGTAGCCGGGGCAGAGAGAAAAAGGAACCCCTGACGTATCGGGGTCCCTGCCTTTGGAGTAGCCGGGGCAGAGAGAAAAAGGAACCCCTGACGTATCGGGGTCCCTGCCTTTGGAGTAGCCGGGGCAGAGAATAGAGAATAGAAAATAGTTAGTGAAACCATGGTGTAAAATTAAAAGTAATTATAAAAAGGGAAACGTGTTAAGGAGGCCTTTGTTACAAAAGCTTTGAAATTGACGAATTTCAGGCTGATAAATGACAAAAGTATAAACTACAAGTTATATTCGCTTAACAAAGTAATCTTGAAAGTTATTCTTCTTTCTGTTTTAGCATTTTTGCTAAAACACTGCTTTCTGCCTCTGTGTGTGTGCAGCTCTATCTGCTGCCGTTGTCAGGGAAACGGCCCCCTCCTTCGCTGCTCTGGCTCTGAATCTGAAGCAAAGCTACTGCTTTAGGATTTTTGGCTTTTCATTGTAGTTATTCCGTTAAATTTGCGAAATTTGCCATTTGAACATTGTGTTAGACACAGTTAAACGTTTTTAAACACCATTTAGTAAATATAAGTTTTGAATATTATATGTTTTTTGAAACCCAAATATTAGTGCTAAAAGCTGTGCAATTCTTTTTAGACCTAACATATTTCTAGATTCCATTCTTTTAAATCTGCTGCTTATTTTGTGAGTCCATTATTGTATCTCTGATATATTTCATAGCTGTTTGTGAGAATTTTTTTTATGTTTTTATTTTAGTTACAAAAGCCGTTTTTCAAACATTTAAATTAGAATCTGTGTTAAAAGTGATTATTGATTATAGACTTCGTCTAAAAAAGAAAGAGGGAATTAGGCTGTAAAAGTATTATATTATTAAGTTAAATTACCCAATTCACATGCAAGTGGCGACTTTTGTTTTTGTTTTGACTACACGCCTGACCTTGTTGCTCCTGCTGATGCCACAGCAGAGGAGCCTGGTCTAAAATGTGCTCCAATTCATACTGACTTCATTTGAAAAATGCTGCAATTATTTTAAATTAGTAAAATATATGCTGAGATAAATGCATAGATAATTAAACACACAGTACAAAAGTACATAATACATATTTTAAAGTTTGAAGGTTTAAGAGATTTGA